CATTGCCCTCATTACAGCAGAGATTAAAAAAAAAGAATTACTATTTTCACTCTCGTGGTAACAATGAACACTATACCTTACCTCTTTTCGGTGTTAGCTAGAAAGAATGCTACTTTACTTTTTCTTCTTGAGGTAGCAGTAGATGTAGTCAATCGTTTTACTTTAGTAACAACTTTCAATACTAAACAAATACTTAAAACGTGAGAAAAATTGCGGCTTTTTTTTTTGGTAAGAGGTTAACGCCATGTTCTTTTAAGCTTTTGACCATCTTAGTTTTAGCCGTCGTTAAGCTGAAAGGAAAGAGTTTTTACGTCATCTTACTCGTTTCTTCTGTGGGATAAAACTGTAAAGCTCATCCTTTACGTCAGGCGATAGGATAGAAAAAACAAGAACCACATTTTATTCCTGGCGAAAGGATGAAAAACAAGAGCTTCTCTTTTGTTTCTGGCGATAGGATAGAAAATTACACCATCCTTCAGTTTCTGGCGATAGGAGAGAAAGGCGAGGTCCACCTTTTTGCTTCTGGCGATAGGATAGAAATTTGCGCCATCCTTCAGTTTCTGGCGATAGGAGAGAAAAATGAGGTCCATCCTTTGTTTATAGTTTATCAAAAGAAATAAAGAGATCCTCTCCCTTTACCTTTGATGAATGTAGACGTTTCCGAGTCTAGTTGCATTTCCTTTTATGGAAAAAACAGAACAGAACTCAGCAACAAAAGTTCTAGAGATCATATATAAAATAAAAATAACAACAACTCTACATTGTACGCTTTTTAGGTAATTTTCTCCATTCCAGGGCAGTAAACCTTAAACTAAACATCGCCAGTCCATGTCTCCTTGCTTTGTAGATTATTGTGCATGTAGTTTCTGCTTTTTTTGGTACTATATAATATCTCATACAGTAGCGCGCGCAACCAACGTTAATCAGAATTTAGATACAGGAAACCAAGTACTTTGGTATACATGAAACACTTGTTAGATACAGGAAACCAAGTACTTTGGTATACATGAAACACTTGTACTAACATCATAGGAAGTAATGTACATTGATACTTTTCTCTTGCCTCCAGTTGGCTCAGCAGTAAGTCTAAGGGCTTATAACGCTAAAAATCAACTTTCGATACTCGCTGTGGGAATACAGATAGCCCCTTTGTGTAACTTTGTATTTCCCAATAGTCATTTTTCTTACTCGATCATAACGGATTATCATTTACCCACGAAAACAAACATTTTTAAACTGCCTGTTTTTTTTAGTGTCAGTTAAAAAAATATGATTCAACTATTCGCTTTTTATAATGCACTTCGATAACGATGATGATTCTCTGGAGGGTTGGCTAGGTTTTTTTTTTTATAAATATTAGTCTTTTCAGCAATTCCCTCAGTTTTTGCTGTTGAATGTGAATTACTGAAAATACGCGTACGGTTGTAGATGTATATTGGTAACAACATACCTGGCTCTCTGGAGCGAACGGCTGGCGTTTTAGTTTGTGTTCTTAAAAGTGACCTAATACGTTATTCTTTATAGCTGGGTTCATAAAATGTTATTTTTGATGATATTTGGTTGTGTTTGCACTTGAGTTTTTTTATATTATTTTGGATGTTGGTTTAACCTGCATCACCTAATTTAGCCATAGCTCGCGACGTATTATTGTGATTACGGCTGAGAATATCCTTGTCAACAAGGGCATTCAATTGACTATTCAATGCGTTCTAGTTGTCATAAATTTTAATTCTCTGTTACAGGAATTTGTGTAATTAAGTAGTTCTAACCAGTTTATGTAGAATTTGTTTTATTGATTCATAGGTATCTGTTTAGTTGTGATCTACATGCCAAACTTACTTTTCAACAGTGATTATTATTAATTAGAAATCTAGCGGGGAATTGGGATGGCGAATGGAGAATTAAAAGCAAAATGTACGAGCCTGTAGATGTTGAAACGACGAAAGATGATTTTCTAACCCTAAACGACACTGCTTGGTTTTCTTTCTTAAATGTATATTTCGCTAAAAAAAGAGAGAATTATGTTATTAATAGTAATATAGAACAGTTAAGAAATTACGGTGTTCCAACCTGTTCATTGAATAACAACTACCTGGCAACTTTTAAAACTAAGTAATGGTTAGAATTATGGCCACTGTTACCCTAAACAGGGTATCAGCTGAAGGACGTGTTACTTCTACCTTTACAGAAAAACGAACTAAAGTTTTCACTGTTTTTCTTCTCTTGTAAAAAGAAGGATACCAATTTGACCAGTTACTTAAATAGTAGTATGCTTTAGAATGTAGACGCATTACAGATTAAATATATATTATAAAACATTATTATTATTATATATATTATAGAGAGAGTTGAAGAAACTGTTAAGTTTGAAAACTTAAATGATCTCCAATCCTGTTTAATGGAAAAGAGACGGCTTCTATATGGAGGTTTTCTTGACAGCTGTTCAAACTACATCGCTTGTAGCTTTACTACAGGGACGCGCTTACATTTATGACACTACAGAAGAACCTACAGTGACCGTACAGTATAGAAGCCGAAACTTCGTCCTGTTTCCATTCAATAAGCAGTTGTAGTCCATTAAAGTTCTTGAACAAACTGTTGTCGAGTCCGATATTGTAACCTAGCTATTGGTGTTGTTATGAGAATACTAGTTGTTGGTTTTCTTTAGAGACCTTTTATGAAAAATAGGTCGTTTGGTTCGTGATACCAGTTTTTACAGCTAAAGTATCATTTACATAATTGAACTCGATAACTTTTTCATCTCTTGTTAAAAGTACTAGTCTCCACTCTCCGTGGTTGAAAAAAACAACAACAAAAACCAAAAAGCTGCGTATGTACGCGTGCCTTTATTAGTTGTGGTACAACGGTTATTGTTATGTTGGATAATTGCCGTTGAACGTAGATTAGATCACGAAGTTTGTTGTGACATTCTCCTGGCTAAGCTATAGAAATGTCACTCATGACAACCAAACATTCCAAAGTTGTGAGAAAATGGCGACCTAACTATCGCGGTTGTTTGTGGTTGGTGTATACTGTTCATTATTCTTAACTCAGTACCAAATACAAAAAAAAATTACTCTCGTGAGATTCTGGTTTTTATTACAAAACGGTCCTTTACTTTGTACATAGTAAATAATGCGTCCAGTTAGTGGCTACTTTTACAGCATGACAATAAACTATTGCAGGAAACGCCACCTGTTAGAAAATTTAAATAAACTCTCTGACGCTTGGAAATTCTCATAACGAATCCATTCAGTCGGTGATTTCTTTTGCATCATAGTACAGTGATCTTCTTTAATTTTACAATTCTGGCAGAAGAACGGGCCAGGAATGTTTTTTTGAGGGGGGAGGGGTTCAACATATTTATTGTTACGAACTTATCGGATTCAATCCCCTCCACAACAGTCGTTCTTTACTCTATGTGACACCTGAGTTATTTTACTTGCAGCTACAAAAAAGACAACGCTAGTTAGTTCATTGTAGGCATGTGTTTCTTGAGTTCAAACACCCGCCTCAGAATGCCCATCATGATTATGGCATTTGAATGAAAGTTCATTCTTAATTTCAGAAATGAGATGTCAATAAAACTTTTGGAGCCATTTGTCAACGAACGTTAATCAGAATAAAGTTCCATGTTCATCCAACGTTAATCAGAATAAAGTTCCATGTTCATCCAACGTTAATCAGAATAAAGTTCCATGTTCAACCAACGTTAATCAGAATAAAGTTCCATGTTCCAAGTGTTTCATGTATACCAAAGTATTTGGTTTCTTGTATCTAGCAAGTGTTTCAAGTATACCAAAGTACTTAGTTTCCTGTATCTAAAATGTGTTTCATGTGTACCAAAATATTTGATTTCCTGTAGTTTTTTTACTGTTTATAACAACTGTTTCATATATTACCAATGCGTTGTATTTCCAGCATGTAACAAATATTTCATGTATACCAAAGTATTTGGTTTCCTGTATCTAACAAGTGTTTCATGTATACCAAAGTATTTGGTTTCCTGTGTCTAGAAAGTGTTTCATGTATGCCAAAGTATTTGGTTTCCTGTGTCTAACAAGTGTTTCATGTATACCAAAGTATTTGGTTTCCTGTATCTAACAAGTGTTTCATGTATACCAAAGTATTTGGTTTCCTGTATCTAACAAGTGTTTCATGTAT